CGATTCGTTCTACCAACATGTGAACCCTGCAAAAACATTTAATTTCCAGATTCCCTTTGGAAAAAGCTTTTTCATAATTAAATTTGGGCAGCAGAATGAGAAAAAAGACTCACACTTTTCTTGGGTCGCCCAAATTTATGGTCTTCAGAACGTCCTTCCTTTATATCTGCTAAGCGTTCCTCCTTTGTTTGCTTTCGCTTCTTATGGAACTGTTCTATATCGCTCAAACGAGGTAAGCCATCACCTCCGTCACGTCTAAGATTAGAAATTCAGGAACTGGATGAAAAGAATAATAGGAAGTGTACTGACCTTTCCATCCGCTCTCCTAACTCTTCTATAAGTCTGACATCATCATTCTTTTTGTTGGCCCCTAGTTGTTTTTTCAAACGTTTCTCACCAATGAGTTTCTTTTTCAATTGATAAAGTCGAATTTGTTTGAACTCTTCCTAAAGCTAAGTGCTTTCGTAGATAGACGATGAACGGCAGCGCTAGGAAATACCTGAGTAAGGATACGCTCTGTGCTGATCATTTCCGCTTTCTTTTTTGGATCCATGTCCTGTACTTTCGAGCCTTTTGATGATGATACCTTGACCAAGAATCATGTACTTCTATGAAAACTTAGTAGGCTTTTATAAAGAATTCTTCTTTACAAGCTCAAAAGTGAAACTTGAAATCTAAAACTAAGATGCTTGGACTCTAAAAGTTTACCGCTCAGATATCGAAAACTGACCTCCTCCATATCCTCTTCTTCCTCTCCATTGTCAGTCACCCAGCCTTCACTATCATCTTCTTCTTCGTCTTCATCATCATCTGTTTCCATTTCCTCATCGCAACGAGCACGCTTACCTGCTGGTGATTCGTCATCAGAAGCAACATCGTCAGTGTCGACGTCTAAGTACACAACATCATAACTTCATTGAGTATTGATAACATCATCAACTAACCGGAAACGTCTAGACTGCCATCGCTGCTGCTGACATCATCTACTTCCATTTCGCCTGTATCTTCCCGGTGCTCCTCTAGAATTTCTGCATCAGGCACAAACTCCGCTACTGCAGGCTTCGCAAAAGCAAGGAATCTGCATAGATAGCCATTAACGTGAAAATCTCATATTTGGTCAGAAAACACTCACTCTTTCTCTTCTCCGCCATCTGCTGGTCTGCCACGGTCCTTTCTAGCCAACAAACGAGGATTGACAGCGCGGAAAAGGGTGATGAGAGCACGAGCAGCCATCGAGACATTTTTATTCTTGTACGTTTTATACTGCAAAAATCAATAGCGAGATGAAAATCTAGAAACCATAGCAAAAAAATTACCTCAGCTAAGTCTCTAAGCAGCTCTTCAGTTGCTGCAAATGGGCAGTTGGCAAGAATTTCTCTGATGGCGTTTATTCCCACAG